GTCTCGTCCAAGGGCCGTCGGCGCCGTCCATCGTCCAAAACTCTCCAACAGGTCATCAAGTGCGACGATGAGGCGTTCCTCGACTTCTTGAGCCGCTGCCTGCGGTGGGATCCGGACCGACGCCTCAAGCCCGAAGAGGCCATTCGCCACGAATTCATTACGGGCCAAAAGGCCGTCGCTCGCCCGCCCGTTCCCCGCCATAGCTTGAGCACGCGCGACGGTTCGCCCGTGCGCCGCCACCACACCATATCCGTTTCTGGCACGGGCGGGCCACGGCCCTTGCCCGAACCCCCTCACAGCACATCGGGGGGCAGCAATACCGTCAAGATTGGTGCTGCTCCGACGCTCCGTGCCGGTCGGGAGTCTCTGGGTGTCGGCGCCCACAAGCCCATCAATGCCCCGACCATTGCGTCAGCAAGACGGGCCTCCGCCGTATCGGCGTTGACGACGTCGGCGAGCATGAGCAAGCGGACGAGCGGAACGGCAGGGATGGGCGGTAGCAGCACAAGCGGTAGCACTGTGGGCGGCTTGACCAGCAACCTCCCACGGGCGGCTGGTCGTGTTGTTAGCGGCGGCTCCCTCGGGAGTAGCGTGTCAAAGCCGGACCTGGCTGCCGCCGGGGCTGCGGCCGCCATGACCCGGCGGGCATGAAACATAGACACATAGATTGGAGCCGGTGTTACGTTGGAGTGGGCAAGTGAGATTCTTATATGGGAGAACGGCGCATTCAATTTCTCTTTCCGTTTCTGGGTGTGAGTCCTATACCTGGGGCAGCGTACATACAGTGCATTGCGCCTGATATTTTGAGGGTAAGACAAAAAACAGGAAGAAACGACAAAACAGGGTCTACTCATTATTACATGTGGTCCGGACGTGGTTTCCTTGGAATGGAGTGGATGATGATTTCATAGACATACACAATGACCTTTCGTACACAATTCGCAGCGGAAGCTATAAGCCCGCCTAATCAGAGCCCCAATCGGGCAGATATTATCAGACGTCATGCCTATACACTACTTTACAATTCGATTCTATGATAATTAGTGACTCGCAGCGGTATGGAACAGACACAAAATTTTGATAAAGTCTACTAGAAAATATCTTTTAAAAGAATTTTTTTTTTGTTTAAAGCTTTGTTTCATTTTCATTGAAAGACAATACCCTACTACTTTGTCTGTGACCTGTGATTCATCACTCCAATTTGCAGTAGTTACTGTTCTTCTTCACTGCTCTGTATTCTACATGTTTCGTTACGACTTTCCCAAAAGGTTTCGTTCATAACAAAACACACATTTCCCACAAACGTAAATAAACCCGTTACACGACGTCCAATAAAGAACGAAGCTCGTGCCATCCAACGATTGACATGTGAAAGCCAAATCTGTGACACTGGCGCCGTCCTACTCTCGTTTCGTTTCGACTTTCCGTTCTGGAATGAGTAATGCAATACCTGGTCCGCAATATCCTGTGTCTTTTGGCTGACGATGCTTCATGGGATGCGGAACGAGAATTACGCAGGAACGCGAGGTCAGAGAACCGGAGGCCGCCTGTCAGCCGCGCCCCAGATATACATGGTATTGTTGCCAGTGTCTGAGTCTTATGCCGGTACGAGAATCGAAAGGGTGCATGTAAGGGGCAGAGACTGTCAGCCACAACTACGAAGCATGGCTCTCTGGCTGGTGATTTTTAACCAGGCACCTGGGCTACAAGGCCAGGACCCCGCTGTAATGCAGGCATACACACACATATCTGCAAGAGAGAGGGGACGAGGAGGAGCGATGCAGCAAATGGTCGACAACAAGACGCAATGGCGGCTCACGACTCGCTGGATTTTAAAATTACACGATGGATGTAGCGATACAGACGAGCCAGTGCACAAGAGAAGTTTGCCACTCGTCTTGGACCGCCCTCTTCCTTCTCCATATGCTCACCTCGTTCTGCTTCTTGACCTTGCAGTTTACGGTTTGGGTCTTCTTTTCTGCTGTCTTCATTCTCACCTGCAGATGCAAAACGGGCCTTTCCCCTTTTGGCAGCACCTGCATTTGTGGATGTTGGGGGGCTCGGGGGCCTTGTGGTCCCATCGGTCCTGCCCGCGAGTGAGCTCGTGGGCTCTGAGGCACTATGGAGTGGTGATACGGCGGGTGCGGTCCACTAAAAAAAGGCCATCCTTCGGCGTTCCTCGTTCGCAAGGCATTCTTGTAGGGTCCCCGTTCTTTCGTCTGTCCTGCATACAATTGCAGGTGGTTGCAGGCAAGGCTTTCTGGTCTAACTTTGGATCTTTGTTCTTTCGTCTTCCCCAATGGTTCCTCATCGAGCGTTGGGTCTGTGTATCTGCCGTGTTCGTAATTCGTAATTGCTTCCACTTCTGTTGCTTATGATTCTGTCAAGGGTCGACTTTCACATGTAAATCTTTAAAGAGCCATACACTCATAGTCAAGATCTTTGTCAGGCTTCCCAAGGTCAACCTTTGGGGTACTACACACCGTTCTCTTCAACTCCTTTTCATAGATTTACCAATATGCCTTTTTGACTTGCAACGCACCGACGACAGAACCCCATCATATCCGAGAGTACTTGCGTACTTGCTTTCCCAAGACGATGAAAGTCTGAACTCTGCGGCTAAAACAGAAAAGGTACCCGAAGCGTACCCTCGTATACGTGATACTCTTTTCGTCAGACCGCTCTCCATTGACTCCTGGGCTGGGAACGTGTATTCCACCTCGATAAGCAATGATTTGGCAGCGGCTGGTGGTTGTCAAGATACCGACCATCGGGCGTCTGTATTGAATAATTCGAGCCATACGGGGGTGGTAAAATCTGGTCCACCGTTTATCCGTTTTCTGATTCTTATACGCAGTTGAGAAGTGAACTTGTTTTCGAGCTTGGTTGTTAACCGGAAACATACCAGACTGGGCCACAACCAGAGGAGACGAGATGAGAGAGGAGTTCTTTTACCGGCAGTAACAGGAAAGTCGTATCGTCGAAGCGAGGTGGAGTGTTTTCATCCGAATTTCGACTATGAAGCCGCAAAAGCACATTGGTATGTTGGAGCTAACGGAAGTTGCGGAGGTTGCCCGAATTTGGCCTTGCCCGTTTTGTCGCAGTCGTTGAGAACAACCGCCATGTTGATCGTTCTCGTTCCTCCTAACGAACACGTTGCTCTCAAAACGAGGTCTAGGGATAGACCTCCTGCCTTCTCCACGATCAATTTGTTGCGTACGCTCATGTACCAAGCACTTCATTGGCGCGGCATCGACAGAATCGACAATCCATCCCTACCAGGTCTCCATCAGCCCCAATGAATGATGCAATGCCCCCCGTCGCTTCATGGGCCATCTGCCGGTGAGGCCGTAGCTTAGACCCTAAGCGAGGGTGCTTCCTTCCCACTTGGCTGGGAAGGGTTAGGCTTCCACAAGTTGCCTTGGGGAGGTATTGAACAGGTGGTTGGGAAAAAGCAAAGGTACAACCATTTTGTAGATGTACCAAAACGGGTTCGGACCCACAGGCCTCGCCGACGTCGAGGCGCAGCCCTGAGTTGGAGAAATAGGTGGTGGCCGGGGCCATGGTTGGTCGGATTTTGGATGGCATCCAATTCATGAGGCCTTTCCTGCCTTTGACCTGGTGAGTTTCTGTGTCCTCACGCACTTTCCCAACAAAATGGATCACAGGCAACACACCTCTCCAGGTTTTCGTTTAGGGCTGAAGGCAAGTGTGATTGGCTGTCTTCCGAAACAAACATTCCACAACCCACCCTTATTACAGACTCGTAACAGAACATAGCAAACAGTGGAAGGTTAGAGAAGATACAACGGGACACGATCCATGGTGCCGTCCGAGACATGCAGGACAAATACAAAACAGAACCGCATCGGTGGGGTGCAATGCTGCCAGGTACATCTGCGATTTGCACACACACTTCAAGGACCTACCTTCCGATGATGCGAACACACGGCAGTTGGTGATGTGGTTGGTCAGTTTTCGTGAAAGTGCCTCGTTCGCATCAAACATCGTGCTATGCAAGTCGGACGAGCGTCGTCTGGTGCTTGCACCTTGTCTTCATCGCTCATCACGGTAAAGGCACCTGAAAATAGGAACACTGTCGATTTTGCAAGAAAATAGACAGCAAATGGGGAAATGGCACGGCTACTCCGGAGCCTTGGTCATTTGGCCAAGGGACGAATGCAGGCATTGCTGCAGGCACAGATGCAGCACCCAGGCAGCAGTTTGTACACCAACCAATGACAAACCGACATTTGTGATCGTATTTAGAGCTCTTTGGGTCCCTTGAACCGTTTGGGACGACATGTCCGCGAAGCAGCAGTAGTGTCTGTTTCATGATAAACTTGTTGACAGGTGTGGGATGTTTGATATCAAAACGGAGAGCAGCTGATTGATCGCCAGCGTGGGGACGGGGCGTGGGGCTAGAGTCGACTTCCTGTTCTTTCCTGTAAGGGTTGCACTCTACCCGTAGAGGACGCCTTGTAGAGCGAGCAAGCATGGCGATGCTTGGACTCAAATGCAAAATATCGTCAAACATTGTAAATAAAAATAGAATGAGTAATCGAAAATCGAGTGCCTCGGCACGGTTGTTGTGTATCTCCTCATTTTTTGTGTGGTAATGCCTCCCGGACCATCATTGGTCGACAGCCTTTCACGGGAGCTGTGAGGCTGAGCACGGCTGGACTGTCGTCATTAAGGGAACATGGAATGTTGATTACCGCGATTGTGCCCTGGGTGGATCGCAGGTGTCTCGCACGTTCGTCGGTTGCAGCCAAGTCCCTTGGAAGACACCGAGCCTGGCTGTTGCGTTGTAGTCATCCACGTTCCCATCTGTCAACCATCGTCGTCTCCGTCTGACATGTATTTCTTGCATCGGCAGGATGGACACAGAAAGGCTGAGGGCGTGTCGAGGCAGAGCGCCTGTGCCTGTATTCTTTTTTTGGTTATTCGGCGATGGCCTATTTTGTCATACTTTGCAAGTACCTTGTCTGCCTTCTCCTTCACTTTGTCTTAATAAGACTCCATGTCTTGGGGGCTGACGCCTTGAGCTTTCCAGAAGGCCACCACTGAAGTGTGTCATTTGCACCTCTTGCAGGATCATGCGACACCAAATTCCTGTCCGCTTCGCCTTTGGTGCCTGGCGCAGACATTGCTCTTACCGTACCAGGAACGACTTGGACGCCGCAGCAAGTCACGAGCACAGCAGACTCATAGTGGCCAAGCTCTGTGAGTTTGTTTTGGAGGGGATTTATTTCGTAGTGGTGTGCCAATATTGGCATCTCCATGGTGTCGTCGCAGCGAGTGGATCATCTGAATTCCGTCCTGTTCATCCTCCCCTTGTTAAAAAGGGCCAAGAGAAAAGAAACGAGCAATACGAATTAGGGTGGCCGCGCTCTGCCCACCATCTTTAGGAGTTTCCGTCTGCCGTGGGCGGGACGACTAAGACATGGCGATCTTGGCCCAGGGCCATTTGTTGGGCTATCTGAGACATGCATCGGTCGCCTTATTGGGTGGAAAGCTTGGGGGAGCTGGAGTCGATGTGAGGATTGAAAGAGGGCAAAACTCGCTGTGACCATAAGCAAGCAACAAAACCACTCCAGCAAAATACCAGTGCTCGATTCTGGCACAGAAGGCACGAAGCTAGGGCGAGATAGAGCCGGGAAGGGACGATGAAAGGAATTCGAAGAGTGCCCGAATCAGAAGTCACTACCCAGACACAACGCCATGCAAAGCGGTTAAGAATAGAAACAAATGACGACATGAACGAAACAAATCCGGCAGAATGGGGGAAGGAGCATTGGTGGTCAACAGGGGCTCGGCATGGCCAGAACAGTGTGTCTGTAAAGGAGGAGGTTTGTAGGGCAATGGGAGGAAGCGGCGACCGTTGAAAGCCCGCTCGCTGCTCAACGGTGTGCGGAGCGCCTCTTGGTCCTTCCATCCTCTGTGGACGACGAGCCGCTTCATTCTTGATCCTTCTGAAATCGGTCTCTCCTTCCCTAATTTGAATGCAGTTTTGTGTACTTGTAGTGCACCCGTAGTCTTGTTCCTGCCAAAATGGTCCCGAAAGCTTTGGCCAGCCCGGAGTTTGCGCGCTATGGTCGGGGCGTTCCTTCCCCAAACACAGGAAGGTGTTCGCAGAGATCGTCTTGCTCTAAACAATGCTGGCACCTTCCCCGGTCACAGGCAAACGAATAAACAATTCTACGAGGAAGGAACAAATTGGGGAAGGACCTTGGGGAAAGGAGAGGGGGAAAGGGACATAAACACCAGCCTTTCCGATTGCCAATTTCATCTGCCCATATGTCCATTTCTTCCGCAACAGTCTCTTGGCTTCTCCCCTTGTGCCTGACCACCATCTACCACCATCCGCGCTCCCCTTTTCGCCACCAAGCTAAAAACGGCAGCCCTCAGCCTCAAGTCAGACAGGCTCCAGACTACCACGACCAGGCTATCCGCAGCGAATGGGCGGCCGGCTCTTACACTTGGCTTGGTATGGGCCTTCCGCCAGGCCCGTGGAACTAAGGCCCTCTTACTTCGTACTTCGTGCCGTCCCACTCAATACACGCCAGAAGCACGCGCTCTTGGCCTGCAATGATCGAGGATGCGCCGGCTTGTCGATACAGAGGTGTACGAGGATTGCTTGTTAGGGCTGACAACGAGGTCGCACGGAGACCACGGCTCCCGAAAGCCCAGTATCTAGCCAGGCCTGCTCCCCGTTCCTCCGCGATCGACCGTGGAATGGCAATGACAGGCATGGCCCACCCCCAGCCACAGCCCTAACGGACCTTTTCCAACCTCAGACCAAATTTGGCATCTACCTCCGTCATGTTCTCCTTCCTTACGAGCAACTCCTCTCGGTGCACACATTGCCGGGGGCGCAAGGAACAGATGGACGCGGCCAACGTTTAACGTTGGCGTCACCCGAAAGTAACTCGGACATGATGGGCCGCAGAGCTTTGTGTCTGTCTGGCCTCATCCCCAATGTCCACTTGACAATTTGCCACTCCAAGGGGGGGTGGGCGGGGGGCAGTTTACGTGAGGCACATCGCGATACGAGAGTGAGCAAGAGGGTTGGAAACCAAAGATGCAACCCACGGGGCACACGAACGTTAGATAACAGAAGCATCGGGGCAACCAGCTCGCAGCCCATATTTTTCGGGAATCAGGCCGGCGCTTACAGACGGAGGCCGTCTCGGTTTGCTTGCGATACGATGACCTCAACATTTCTGACTGTTTCTCAGCCTCAGCTGGTTCTTTGGGCCTGTCCCATACCAATTTTGTGTTAAGTTGCTGCATGGCGAATGTTGGGATGCGACCAGATGCTCGCATGAGACAACACCTGGAGAAAAAAGAAATCTAATGCGAAGTGCGTGGTGCTGTCCGCCACAGAGCTGGAGCAACCCAATGCTGCACCTAATACAGCCCAGTTTGGTAATATGCAAGCCACACAATAAGGCCCAGAGCGGGCCAGGCCTCCACCAATGTTGCGTTTTGCGGATATGTCACAAGCCGATACGGAGTGTGATGTTGACAAAACGTCCAACCAACCCACGATCCTGCTCAGGGAGACCACTTGTGTGAAGACGATCGAGCAAACAGCACAGTTTGCGATGTGAACAATAATGGGGTAAACGGGCATATGCGGGCCAGTTTCGTAACAAAGGTAAGAATCATCATACTAACTACCAAGCCACAGCCCAAGACGCACTAAAACCAAAAACAGTAACAAGACTCTGATGGCAGCACAAATATGTCCCAGTGTGGAAAAGGACGAAATAAAACAGTTCGCATTGCCATTACAGTGCATCGGAAGGGGAACGACCTGTTATTTTCGATTCCAGGCGGCGGTCCAGCAGCCCACGCTTTGCCGTTGTTCTGTGCTCTGTCTGACTTGCATATTCGAGCCAGGGTCACGGATCAGGCAGGGATTCTCACACGTTACTGGTTCCCACAAAGGCATGGCTGGGCAAACCAACCAAACCAGGCAACAACGAATATCACCAGAACAGTCGGTCGTTCGATGGCCTTGGTCAGATTCGCTTCCTATTGCATATGCCGATGCACCAAGAGCAATGACAGAGCCACAGAGCCACATAACCGAAATGGCAAACATCCCGAAGAGCAAACGCCCCGTAAGCACGCTGCGTCGCATTCACTCTCAGTGCCATACTCTCTAGGGGCCCAAGGACCCCATTTTAGGCAGTGGAGCAGCCCCGGCAGACAGTCGATCCGTGTCCTCGAAATAGCTGCTGCGGACTTGTTTACGAGCGATACCACAACCGTCAACGGCGCGGCCGACAGCTCTCCACCTTGTGCCTTGCGACCGGCATAGCCAAGTGGGCTTTGCACTTCCGCCTAGTTCCAGTTCTGCTAATAGGCGCTCTCGTGGCTTACAGGCATGCCGTGCCATGATGCTCTTTACTGTCCTTCCTTTCTGGCCGGGGCTGTCGCATTTGGGAGAAAGTGAGAATGAGGACGCAATGCCCTACAGCATCACAAGCCACTCCCTCCCACACACACTGCCCTACGACATAGGACAAACGACGCAGAATACAGGACTGAGGATACAGGACTGAGGATACAGGACTGAGGATACAGGACTGAGGATACGGGACTGAGGATGCAGGACTGAGGGTGCAAGACACAGTCCCTGTGTATCGCCCTGCTGCATGTTTGCATTCTGACGGGATCTTGCCGAAGGGTCAAGGCCGCAGAATCAGTGGCCAGCAGATTCTGACACAGATGCACCGGGTAGACGCACACGCACACGCACACGCACACGCACGCGCACGCGGATGCAAATGCAAATGCAAATGCAAATGCAGGCCATAGGGCAGAACTGTGGTCACACCAAGCCAGTGTCCATCCAGTGGTGTGAACCGCGATCCTACGGGCCCCAGGCCTGGCCGCACAACCTGACTTCATCGCAACTCCATTTCTCTTTTTGGCTCAGTTTTGCTCCCACGGTTTCGATTTTTCAGAAATCATCTTCGTCTTTTCCAGAAAGAACATGTTTTGTTACCCTTCTTTTTCTCTCCCACGGATTTCCCCTTAATTGTGATAATTTTTGTGTCATTTCTCGTCTGGCGCTTTCAATTACGGCAGGCTGCTCTGTACTTTGAGCCTCGTTAACCTATTCTCTCCTCTTGTCTTTGTTCTGACTCCCACGACTCACACCTGCCGCTAAACCCACGCACTTATGCACACTCCCACCCGCCGCATCCACACCTTCAATATTCCCATTCTCCATAAATCGTATATTTGGACAAACATAGTAATACTGGCACACACCTTCCTCCCACGCCCCTCCTCACCATCTCTCCCCCGACTGCGCCCTTGACGCCCAAGCAACAAACAACGAAGCCCAGGAAGCTCGCTCTGTCTCCTATGGCCAGTTTTGGACGTCTCCCTTCCTCTATGCGTATCGTTTTTCGTTCTCGTTTCCTGTCGTCTTGTCTTCCGGTGCCTGTCCCTGCGCCCACTTCTGTTCTTACACCTGCATGCTCTTAGTCCACTAGAGCTGCAGTAACTCCCACACCAAGTGCGCCTTAGTCACCGGGTGGATTGCCTGAACAAGTCGTCCCAATCTCTCAACTGTCGACATGGTCCCCATCCTCATGACGAGCCTTTCTCACCAGGCTACCAAGGAGTATAAGGCTACGAGACCATCCCTCACCTCCTCCCATGTTGTTCCGGCTATGAGTCTCTCCATGCTCCTTGCTCTTCACCATATTTCATTTGTCCTTTTGCGTTTTCACAAACAGTCATAGGATTGTTGCCTTCGTTTGTCTTTCTGTTTCTCCAATTTGATCCCTCTCTTATTTCTTTTATCCTATTGTTTGCCTTCTTGAGTCGACGTCCTGCCTTGCCGTGGTCCTTTCGTCTGCGTGTCCCACTGTCCTCCTGTCGTCTTGTCTTCTTGTGTTTCCATCGCTCCCTGTTCCCTCTTCCCTCAGTCTCCCTCCGGCCAGTGCCTCAGAACTGAGCCACCCTCGTTCGCCTATTTGGGAGTTTTGTTTCTATATTTTATTCTTCTTATTCTTTTTTTGTCTTTCGTCTATCAACTCCGGCCTATCACTTTACCCCTCCGGTATTTCCACACAAAGTTCTCACATACGGGCAGTGATCTCACCAGCCTGCTTGTTTGTTACATCACTTCTTTTCTTCTCCTTTTTTTCTATTATTTATTATCTCTTCAACGCAGCTTTGTATTTATATTCTTCCCTTTTCCCATTTATCTGATACCCCCTCCTCCTGTTTTCAGCATCTCATTATAAACGAGAAACATCAGAGCAGCAACCAATATTCAAAGAGCAATAGCAAGCCAAAGCCAACGCGCGAGCTCCATCCAGTCTGTCGTCCTGTTCCTTTATCACGACTTCGGCAATTCTTTCTCGCCAACCTAGGATACAAACAAAGTGCCATCAGTGCTTCAGCATCGCCAAAATGTGTTATCGTCTCGTGGAGCGCTTCTCGGTGTGCGGATGTGTCTATTACAAGCACGCCGTTGATCGTTGTGCTGCGTATAGTCAGTCCGGTCATAAAGTCCAGGAGCGGACAATCCCGGTGGGCTACACTTGCGTCGATCACTCTGAGCCACCACAGGGGGCATATAGCTCCGATGCCTACACATACTCGGACTCGGGTTACTACAGCAGCCAGTCGCACAAGAGCAGCAGGCGCCGGTGAAGTGTTCTGTCTTCGGTAATGGGGTGTCGTTCATCGACGATGTTGCCACCGTTTGAGATTTTTGAATTCTGGGCCTGGGTGCGGTATCTCTATTCCTTCCGGATGAGGCCATTTTCCAGTGTGCGTTCGCCGTCCCAGCTTTCCTATCTCTTTGTTGGCCACGATCGTCTCAAGTCAAGCTCCGCTCCGCCTTAGCCCAGCAGAACCTTTCCGGACCAGACGAAGGACATACAATTCTTCATCAGAACCGGCTTGCTTCTCTTGGCCCACGCTCCTCCCACTCCTCAATGTCACTCTTCTGTCCCCTCTCATTCTTTTTTCTTTCACCCCCAGCTCATCGTCGGCAACACAAAACGACGAACAACCGCTTGGCAGCACAGCTCGAACACCAACACAACCAACCGTTGCCGAAGACACGACGAAGACAGCCTTGAGAAGAGACGCCACACACTGCTCTTTTCAAGACGATATGAAAAAAGGGCCGACAACGTTTTTTGCATCTTGCAACACATGCAACACAGTTCCCTCTTTCTGGTCCTCTGACTTTTTGGACACTTCTTGGCAGCCCTCTTTCCCTCTTTATCGTCACCATTTGTGATTTCCCCCTTTTGCGCTTTCTTTTCGACCTTCTTCATTTTCTTTTTTCATCTTTTTGGGAGCATAGCATCGCATCGGCCAAGGACATTGTGGACCAGCGTGATTTTGGGACTTGCATAGGGACGTGGCAGGACGGCTATCTGCCTCTTGCCACGCCCCCCGGATTTTCTTAATTTTTTCCTTCTTCATTTATTGTGAGATGACCACCAGTGGTTTACATTGCGACCCAGTGTGGCTACATTCTCGATCTCTCTTCTCCCCCACTTGCCCAGCGGGTATTTCCCTTCTTTTCTCCTACTGAAGCGTTCAACCTCCCTATCACCGCTCGGGCTCGATTAGTCCATGCGCTGGGCAGGCGTGGTTTGTACCACTTTCTTATTCTTCTTTCTCTTTTTGTCTCTTCTTTTTCCTCTGTCCTTGTCTCTTCAGTGGCATTAGAGGAAAACGGTCTCATAGTGGGCGTTTTGTTTTGATTTTCTGGCAACTGGATATGGATTACGGGTCGAAAAGTATGGTACTTTTAGGATACCACGGGTTTTTCTTTTATCGGAGTTTCTGTTTTTCTATTTTCTTTCTCATAGGGTTCCTGGTTTGTGTTTCTTTTTGGCTTTCTTTTCCTTTTCACATTTTGATGGGCATATTGGGAGCGATTTTGGCCGGGTCTAGCCTTTCTATTTTCTGTTTTCTCTTGTTCTTGATTTGTTCCGCGTTTTGCATTTCTGGCTGATTGTATTCATAATGTGCTGCTCTGGAAGCAGTCTCTCGTTTTGCCTTTTGCATCTTTTATGGCTTGGACGGCCCCTTCCTCCTTCTTCTTGTTCGCCTTGTTTCATTCTTCTTTTTTCCTTAACGATATATGGATCACGGAACGACAGGTCTTTGGGACGGAAAGTAACGTGCTGGACGGCACAAAGCGAAGGGATCATCTTGGGAGAATCAGAGAGAAGTGGGAAAGCCGCTGGCCGACTCGCTCACTCCATCTTTGCATTTCTCACCCCACTCCCCTCATTTGTTCTGCAGGTCATTCTACTTTCCTGTTCCTGTTACGATGGCAGTGCCACCGTCTCTCATTTTATTTTAGTACGCCGGCTTACGCACATGGCCATGAGAAACGGGGATAACGGAAACGAAAATCAAAGCATCGACGCATCGAACGCAAACAACAAGGTCCGAGGTCGGAGGGGTCACCAATTTCGTCTCGCCTCTCACTCAAGTCTTTCTCACCACACGACAATTCTGGCAATTGGCTTTGGAAGGAAGCTTACCAACAAACCCCATCAATATAACTTTTAGTCTAGAACCAGATAAACCGTCCTGTCTCGTTCTGCTCCTCCCGTCTGCAGATTTTGTCGTCGTTTGGCTTTTCTGGTATTTGGTCTCTGGTTTTTCTTTTCTACACCTGTCTCACGGCCGGTCCGTGTATGTCAGGGAGATTAGAACCCCAGGAACCTTCAGAATATAGTCCCATACGGAAGACGCACTTCGGACGAAGGAGCTGAACAGTTGGACACTGAGCAATCAATGCCAAAAACATTTCAAACAAACTGTGTCGCTGCCAGCCGTGCTTTTCTGGACGTTCACATCAAGTATGACACTGTTCGTCTCACAGTCTGCTTCCTGCCTAATTTCTGACTCTCTAGATCATATGATCGTACAGCCTAGTTGACAAGCCTGGCCGTCCTCGGCTTGCGAAGAGTGCTGCCGTTTTTCGAGGCAACGCCGGGCAGTGCTGCAATCTGCCTTGGTGGACTCTTGCCGTATTTTGCGGTTCTTCCGTCTGACTTGCCATTTGGTTTATTCTTGGCCTCCTTGCTGCTCTCCGCCTCGGTTTGGACGGATCAAGGTGTGGGCGCCATTGTGTAGCAAAAACTCACGTTTAAGGCATGCATAAGGTATTAAAAATAACTGCAATGAGAACCGGCAACAGCGCGTCTGATTCAATCCCCACACAGCATTCGATATACATTATGCACCACGCCACAGTACCACGCCTCTTGTTTTCTCTTCTTATAACTGTCAAATGTGGGAAAAGCATTGCGGCTTAATGGTCTCCCGTGCCTTTTTTGACTTACAACGAGGATGCAACCAAGCAAGAGCTGGTGTCAGACCCCTCTCGGCTCATAT